GGTTTTGTGTAGGGATATATGGCTGTATCATTGAAGACTCACTCTGTTAAAGGACCTCTGAAGCTTAACCAGGTTGGAGTTGTTTTTTACTGGAGAAAGCACATATATGGCTTTTTTGTCAAACACAAGATTTTTAATTTGCAACCCTTCTCACATTCTCCAGCCTGTACTCCTGATAAGGCTATGCAACTATATTCAAATGTAGGGTCTGAATAATAAAATACAAGTAGTTTGTAAAATATATTAGTCAGATAGCGTGAGATAAGGGAACAAGAAGGAAATAGGGCTTAGAGTCCAGCCGGCTTCCATTGCTTCTGCTCCCTCATCCCTCAGAGCTGAGACTTTTCTGATTTCCATACACCCATATGACTGAGAAAGCAGTAGTCTGCGCTTACTGGTGAGCTTAAGAGCCCTCTTATATTGCACCAGGAGCGTACAGAGGATCTGATGTGCAGTTAAGAGGATACATGGGCCAAATACAAATCTCATCAATAGCAGTTGGGGGGGGGAGGGTTGGACATAACTCATTTTGCTTTAAGGAAATTTTCTTACTTGTGAGCTCAAAATATTGACTTCCTTTCTTTTCTTCACTCTTTTTCTCCCATTCCCCTTTCTTTCTCTAGACTATACAATTCTACAGCAGAGTAGTTCAGTTCCCTCTTACAAGTAATGCATTCAGATTACAATTTTCCTAGAGAGGAAAGATGAAAATATACAGTGTGTCAAATCATATATTTTATCTGTCATCTAAACGGTACAATTTTGTAATATCCTTTTATATTTTAAATTATCATGCATTTTAGATACCGTGCCACATATTTCAGACACCTGCTGTCTGTGATGCATTATGCTGGATTGACTCATGCAGTAACAACTTCTCAGTTATTTTTATCATCTTGTAAGAGGATAAGACTTACATACTTTGGCCGTTACTTTCCTTGCCTTGTGCTACCTGGTGGAAGTCATGGAAGCAGACAAATGATCTTGTCCAAAACCATGTGGCTAGAAAGAAAAACAGGAGATGATCTGAATCAGAAAATGTCTGTGCATCTGAAATTGTGCTAGTTTGCCAGGGATCCCCTAGAACAGACCCCCTGCAGCTACTGTGCATTCTGTGCAAAATAGAACAGTTACTCTCC